GGATCGGAAAATTCTGAGTCAACCTGATTAAAGCTGAATTCAAATCTGATAGTTTACACTTTAAATCAAGGGTCGTCCAGCGAGCCGGTGATTCTTAGTATATTTTAATAACTTGAATCTTTGTATTTTCCTTGACAATTGGTCAATACGATTATAATAATTTGTAAGCTCTTAGAGAGGTAACGTAATCTTTGGCAAAGGTTTTAACTTTAAAATTATGACACCAAACAATGATTCTTTATAAATGAAACATGAATTTTATTGGCTATTCTAGATTACATTAAAACTAGGCTAAAACACACACACACACACACACACACACACATATACAGCTCAGAAAATTGAAGGAATGAGTTAACGGAGTTGCATGTAGTTTTCAAAGTTCTAACACTTGTTTCCACGAGTGGTTTTAAAATCACCTGAGAGAATTCACAAAGCAGAGGTTTGTCTTAAGTTTACTGCTTAACGCAATTCACCAGTTCAACACCGATTTCAGCAGATAGGAGCTTTGTTTGTTTACTTGCGTTTTGCTTTGGATGACAGCTGAAAAGCGGAGTGGTGAGGATCACAGTATGAGGATCGTGTGATGTCACTGTGATCATCGCATGATCTCACGTGTTGACTGGGATGTAACTAATGTCAATAAATATTCATTCTGATCTTGAATGTCTTTTATGGCACAAAACCAGGAACTACGTCACAGTTTCTGATAAGAGAAAGTGAAAGAAAAGTGCTTTTGACGGTTAAAACAACAAACCCGTGCACGATGGCAGAAGCCAGTATTCTAATTGGTCAGGATGAGTTCATGTGTTCAGTGTGTCTGGATCTGCTGAAGGATCCAGTGACCATTCCCTGTGGACACAGTTACTGTAAGAGCTGCATCACAGACTGCTTGGATCAGGAGGAACAGAAGAGAGTCTACAGCTGCCCTCAGTGCAGACAGACCTTCGGTCCCAGGCCTGCTTTAGCTAGAAACACCGTGCTAGCTGAAGTGGTGGAGAAACTGAAGAAGACCAGACTCCAAGCTGCTGATAGTTTCTCTGGATCTGGAGACGTGGAGTGTGACGTCTGCACTGGGAGCAAACACAAAGCTGTCAAGTCCTGTCTGCTGTGTCTGAACTCTTACTGTCAGAATCACCTGCAACAACATGAGAGTTTCTTTAGAGGTAAGAAACACAAATTGACTGATGCCACTGGACGACTACGAGAGATGATCTGCACAAGACATGAAGAACCGCTGAAGCTCTACTGCAGAACTGACCAGCACTGCATCTGTTATCCGTGTTTGATGGATGAACACAAGAACCATGAAACTGTGACAGCGGAAGCAGAGTGGACAGAGAAGCAGGTATGAGCTCAATGAGATTAAAACAGTTCAGTTCAGTCGAGCAGCATTCAGACTCCTGATAACAGCACTGCATCTTTGGACTGTTTTTATCAGTCTGCTTACAGTCCTCTACAATCTGAGTAAATCACGACCACATTTCATGCTACTAAATAATGTCTGTCTCAGCCACTGGCTAGTGTTTGAGAGGAAAGGATGCATATTGCATTAGTTATCAGGGCACGGAACAAAATGTCAATAAAGTGAGAATAAAGCAACTGTACCACAGACAGCTGTGTTTTTACTCTATTCCCTCTGATATCAGTGGATTTCCAGCGTTCTCTCTGGTGTTCTGTGACTCTATGACCATAACCCTAAACCTTCAACACACGCAGCGCAAAATATCAACATTTATTGATGGGAATCATGAAATACATGCTACAGATCCACACATCATATATATATATATATATATATATATATATATATATACTTATTTTAGCCTTTTGTTTTGTGCCCATATAAATTCATAATAAAATGAGGAGATAATATTATAAGGTATCTGCAACTTAGATGACGATGATTATGATGATAATTATTATTATTATTATCATTGGGGTGAAGAGTGGGACAATCCAAGTGTGTTCATGACTTCTTCCACCCGTAGCGGTAATTCTGCTCGGTCCCGTCACCATATCGGCTCAAATGCACAAGCAAGTGGACTTATTATGAGCTCAACAGTCCTTTCAAGCTTGTCTTCCCCCATTTCAAAACATGCATGTGCTCAAAAAGTAAAGAAATGCTTATATTACCAACCCCGTGACGTCACACGCTGTGGTACTGCAAAAGCTGTAACAAAACATCATTTTTTCTTTAAAATGGTTACATTAATTCTGTTTGTTATATATTTTTGTATTAAAGTGGAAATCAGTTTACTAAATAATATAAACTTTACTGACTGCTTCACTGTTGTTAAAGCTGTTTTTTGCTCCGTGTTCCGTGTTTTTGGATTATCTTCTTTGTTTTGTTTGTGAATAAAAGTAATGCATTTCGATCCACATCTCCTCTCCTCTCCTCACCTCGTGACAGTATCACACACTGGCTCGTATAATGATGCTTTACTATATTTAATTAGCAGCCAGTGACTGAATGATGGTGGACTCAACAACGAGGATTTTATTACTGGGTTATGTAATATTGCTGATGTGTTTATTTGAATTTTGACAGAGGATTCTGAAGGAGACGCTCCAGCAGAGAATCCAGCAGAGAGAGAAAGATCTTCAGCAGCTGAGAGAGGCTGTGGAGTCTCATAAGGTGAGTCTGGAGAAGAAGAGAAGTTTGTCTCCGTCTCAGTTCAGACTCACTGAAGCCTGAATCACTGTGTGTCCTAACAGCGCTCTGCACAGACAGCAGTGGAGGACAGTGAGAGGATCTTTACTGAGCTCATCCGCTCCATTGAGAGAAGCCGCTCTGAGCTGATACGGCTGATCAGAGATCAGGAGAAGACTGCAGTGAGTCGAGCTGAAGGACGACTGGAGCGACTGGAGCAGGAGATCAATGATCTGAGGAGGAGAGACGCTGAGCTGGAGCAGCTGGAGCACACACAGGATCACATCCAGTTCCTGCAGGTAACACAGATCTGACAGGCAGAAGAAAGACACATGTTTTCTTTAAATGTGTCTGGAAAACCTTTATTTATGTATTTGTTGTTGTTTTTTTAATTAAGTCAGCAATTTTGAACATTTGTTTTTTATAAAACTTTCATGCCCTCTGAATATTTTGTTGTATGAATATCTGAACATGCAACATGTCAAAAGAAAGAACAGAGCCTCTGCTAAAAACAAAAAGTTTATTCTAGCTTCATGCATTTTTTAATCAGCACTTGAATGTGGGTGAGTTTCATCAAAAAGCAACATTTTGAACACAAAGCTGAGAAAATTGTTTTGTTGTCAAATACTATGTCTGGATTGGATTCAGATTGATGATCTTACATTTATATTTAGTCATTTTGCAGACGCTTTTATCCAAAGCGACTTACAATTGTAATGTGGTGTTTTGTTTCATGTTCATGTTTTCCATGTCTTTTATTTTGTAATTGTTTCATGGTCCATGTTAGTGTCATGCTTCCCTTGCCTCATGTCTCTCTGCCTTGTGTATGTGTCATGTTCTGATTGGTAGTCTTAGTCATGTGTCTTGTTCCCCATTGGTTTGTTCATGTCATGTGACCCTCCTTGTCTGCTATAAGTAGCTTCATGTTCCCATTGTGCCCTCGTCGTGTATTGAATGTATTTAACCCGCTGTTGGTGAGTCTAGTCTGTTTATGCCAAGTCTGCTCATGCTATGTCTGGTCAAGTCAAGTCAAGTCAAGTCAAGTCAAGTCAAGTCAAGTCAAGTCAAGTCAAGTCAAGTCAAGTCTGTTTTTCTCAAGTCAAGTCAAGTCAAGTCAAGTCAAGTCAAGTCAAGTCAAGTCAAGTCAAGTCAAGTCAAGTCAAGTCAAGTCAAGTCAAGTCAAGTCAAGTCAAGTCAAGTCAAGTCAAGTCAAGTCAAGTCAAGTCAAGTCAAGTCAAGTCAAGTCAAGTCAAGTCAAGTCCAGTCTGTGTCTCGGATTATTGTTTGGATCACTCTGTAAATAAACTGCACTTGGGTTCTCACTTACGCTCGCCTTCAGTGGATTGATCTTTACAACAATTGGGGGATACATAAAGCGATTCTTCTTAAAGAGGCAAACAGACACCGGAAGTGCTCGCAATACCAAGTTTCAGGCATTGTTTAAATCAGTACAAGCTAGAAAGGGAAGGAATAAATAAAGAGAAAGACAGTTTTTTTTAAATTTAGGATGAAGTCAAGTAGCGTCGAAAGATATGAGTTTTCAGCTGTCGCTTGAACATTGTCAGGGATTCAGCATTCCGGATAGGGATGGGAAGATCGTTCCACCAGCCGGGAACGGTGAACGAGAATGTTCTGGAAAGTGATTTTGAGCCTCTCTGTGATGGAACTCACTAGGGATCTCAGACTTCTGGAGGGGATGTAGATTCGTAGTAGTGAGTGGAAGTAAGCGGGTGCTGAGCCTGTGGCTGTTCTATAGGCAAGCATCAGTGTCTTGAACTTGATTCGAGCCGCAACCGGTAGCCAGTGCAAGGAGATAAAGAGAGGTGTAACATGGGCTCTTTTGGGCTCGTTGAAGACCAGTCGTGCCGCTGCATTCTGAATCATTTGTAGAGGTTTGATTGTGCTTGATGGGAGTCCAGCCAGAAGAGAACTGATCCCTGAGGATCCCCAGTGACCAGTTGATGTGCTTTGGATACCTCCCCTCCCCAGGACACCCTGAAAGACCTACCAGTGAGATAAGATTCAATGATCTACACATAGATGATAGATCGAGTCAATTGCTTCTGTGTGTGGTGCTGGCAATTACTTGAGTATTTAAATTGTTATCAGATTAGGCCTGAGTGCATTAGAGTGCATTACAGAAAAACAATCACACAAGATTTGAAATTGAGGAAAAACACTGGCATAAAAACAAGCTTGTTGTGTGTTTTTCTCCTGCAGAGTTTCTCCGTTCCTCCTGAATCTACAGAGCAGCCCAGCATCACCATCAGTCCTCACTTCTCTTTCAATCATGTGGGAAAATCAGTTTCTAATCTGAAAGAAAAACTGGAGGATTTCTGCAAAGAAGAGATTGAACAGATTTCTGGCAGAGGTAATGTGTCACACACAGAAGAAACCATTTAAAAGAATATGGAAGGGATTCATGCTTCATATGGGAATCACATTAATTATGTGTCTTTATGTCCACAGTAAAATACATTGAAATTATTCCCATCAAAGAATCGAAGACCAGGCCAGAGCTTCTGCAATGTAAGATGCTATGAAACACACACAGAGAGACTGATACGACCTCATGATTTTCATTTAAAAAAAAAAACTATAAAAAAGGCATCAAACCTGAGTTGACACAGTGTTATTAAAAAGACTGGAAACATATCAAAACTAAAGATGTACGGTATGCATTTGGAAAGAGTATGTTTGTGTAAACTAAATTAAATAAATCTTATTTGTTTTATCTTCATCAGATTGCAAGTTTCTTACTCTGGAGCCAAACACAGTGAATAAATGCCTCCATCTGTCTGAGGGAAACAGTGTGGCTAAAGGCACTAAAAAAGCCCAGCCGTATCCTGATCATCCAGACAGATTTGATTATTATTTTCAGGTGTTGTGTAGAGAGAGTGTGTGTGGACGCTGTTACTGGGAGCTGCAGTGGAGTGGAGATAGAGGTGTGGAGATATCAGTGTCATATAAGAGCATCAGCAGGAAGGGAGGTAAAGAGTGTTTGTTTGGAAACAATGATCAGTCCTGGAGTTTGATCTGCACTCCTGACAGTTACTCATTCAGTCACAATAACACAGAGACTGCTCTCTCTGTAGAGTCCATCAGCAGGAGAATAGGAGTGTTTGTGGATCACAGAGCAGGAACACTGTCCTTCTACAGCGTCTCTGACACAATGAGCCTCATCCACACAGTCCAGACCACATTCACTCAGCCGCTCTATCCTGGGTTTTGGGTTGATTCTGGATCATCAGTGAAACTGTGTGACCTAACAGCAGAGATAGAAACTTGAGTCTGTGACTTGGACTCGAGTCGCACACAAGTCACAAAAGAACACAACTTGGACATGAGACCAAGTCAACTCACACTCTCTCTCACTCTCACTCTCACACACACACACACATAATACACACGTCAGTTTTTCTCTGAATTTAAACTTTAAATCTTCTAATTGAATACACATTTTTCATATTTAGCTGTTAATACTTAGCTGCAAATATTTATGGTTTAGTTGTTTATTAAAATACATAAGTGGAAATCCATGATGTTCAATGGACTGCTGGAGGAAGGCCGAGGCTGTCGATGACAGATTGCTGTGTGCTGCGCCTATATCATCTGGAGAAAATATAAACATGATATAAATGAGGTTTTTTTACAAGATATTAACTTCCTGTAAAATCCAATAATGCCAACAAAGATGCAGGAACTGAGTATTTGTTCAGCCGGAATGGAGAGGATGCTCATCGTGGTGTGAACACGATGCATGGATGCTCTAGCACTGCATGCAGCACGCTTTCATTGATATCCAACCCATCTGAATTCTGCACAGAATATTTGTATTTTAAAGTGCTATGGAAGAGATCAGCCATCACAAATGCATGCTCAGATTGGGCCTAATACCATAATGTCATTGCACCTAAGGTCGTGTCTGCAGCAGGCGTGACAGTCAATTGAACATTAGTGCCATCTGCTGGAAGGATGTTGCTCAGCTGAAAAATACCTGGGCCCCATTCACAAAACATTTTATCTTACCACTATGAGTTCTCCTAAATAGCAGTAAAAGTTTTTAGCTAAGAGTTTTCTCTTAAAACCTGTTATAAAGCTGCTGAGACAAACTTGTACTAAGGAATAGAGAGAAGTCTTAAGCTCAGAGTAAGGGGGCGGGGCTAACCTAGTTGTTCTGGATGATGTCATCATGCTTATTAACTATGCACACAGTGATTGGCTGATAGTCTCTGTCAGAGATTTACTGTAGAGCACGATATTATGTTGCCATATTCAAATAAAGGTTTAAAAATGCAGGCTAAGTGTCACTAATTAAACAAGTACATGTTCGGCTAATTGTCAGCCTCTTACATGTGTGCTTCTCGTAAACAATTAGTGAATATGCATATGAACAGCCTTTTAATTAACACAGTAGAAGAATCATGGCTGATAGTAAGACATGCAAACATAAAAGAAAACCAAACTGGACGCAAGAACAGCTGTTACTTCTTGCCCAACTTATTAATGAAAACAAGGATATAATCAAAAGAAAATTTGGAGTTGGGATAACCTCCAAAACCAAAGTATGGGGAAACATATGTGTGCAAATAAATGCAGCGTGTTTCTAAAATGTTTATGTTTCGAGGCAGATTGCTGGCAACAGCCATTTTAGCCTGGCTGAAAAAAACAATAGAAACCATCACAGAATTTTTAATGGTTTTACTGGTTAATGGGAATTGTACTGGTTTTAATGGTAACTATAATGGTGCCTGTTGGTCTCTACTGGTAATTAGTAGCCTCTATTGTTGGCTTGTTAAAACCACTAATGGAACATGTCCCAAAACACACTACAGAAAACCATTTTTCAATGATTTTAATGGTTAAAAGTTGGTTTGAATGGTTTGTAATGTTTGTAATGGTATTTGTAGGGGAAACCATTAGAATTTCTGTGATGGTTTCTATTGTTTTCTTCAGCAGGGAGGATAGGCCTAGTTTGTGGCTTGCTCTCAGTGACTCAGGACTCCTCTTCACTGCTCCTAACCTTTCACAGATTTAGGAGCTACTTTTAGCGCTAAAACGCTTTGTGTTATACTCATTATTTTTAAGATTTTCTCCTAAATCGGCGAGTTATGAGGTACTTTTAGCCTTAAGATGTTTTATGAATATAGGCCCTGGACACATTTGTGAGAAAATCAAACTGAGAGACCTCAAAAATGGCATTTGTCTCACAGACGTAACAGACCAGGGCCCGTATGTATAAAACGTCTCAGAAATGCTCTTAAGAATAGTCTTAAGCTTTGACTTAAGTGTCAAAAAATTCTTAATAAAAAGTAGGACTTTTCTAAGAGTAGGAGACTTTTATAAAGACGCTAAAAGCAACTTTCAGTAAAGTCTGAGACTGATTCTGAATTGTTGACTGAGGCGACACTTAAGTGTTGTGAACTAAGGACTACAAAGATGTCAACCCTCGACCTCTGAATCAGCCGATAGTGAGCCTGCACACGTGAAGTCACAGCAGCACAACACCAATCATTTAACGTAACTACAATACAATCATTTCAGTAAGACTGAAATATGTTAATTTAAATGTATTTTTAAATGCTTTGCATTGTGCAAAATTATCACAAATTATTAGTAATGCTTTGTTTAATGGTATGTCTCCTGGTTTACAGTTAGAGCACTGACGTGAACATGAGCTCCATCAACGGCTCCAGTAACTCCAGTAACAACACAATCCTCACTAAAGTTGTTTTGCAGTATGGTTTGGCCGTCAGTTGAAAATTTAATAAACTGCCATATAGTAGTGGCCAAAAGTGATGTCCGGCCTAGGAAATTTGACTTATTTTCATCCTTAATTTAAAAAGATGTGCAAGATCTTGTAATCAAATTGCATAGTTGCTTAGTCAGTTGTTTTATTTGTGATAATAATGCAATGAAACAAGGCATATTATGCGGTCATAATTTTTGGCCATGCTATCATACAAAGACATTATGAACACATGCAAAAACAAGAGGCCACTGAAATGTAAATAACGTATGGTGTAGTCCGTGTGCCAGTGTTGCCAATTTAGTGATTTTGTCCCTAGATTTAGTGACTTCCGCATCCCTTTAGACACTTTTTTCAAAAACCTAGAAACAAAATCAAAATTCCGAACCTCTCCCATGACATCATAAAGGCGAGTTCACTGATCTGTATAAATATAAATATAAATATAGATCAGTGAACGCACCTTTATGAGGTCATCTAGCAACATTGAGTGACCAGTTTTAGCTACTTTCGATTGAAAGCAGTTGGCAACACTGGTCAGTGTTTTTTTGTCCTTTGTATTTTAACGGTTTAAGTGAAATGTGGGGTCATAAAAATAAATAAATCCACACATCACCTTTGGCCACTGTTGTGTTTGGTGGGGTTAGTGCCACAATATGTAAGACCCTGCTTACTGTGTCATCATCGGTGCATTGCTGCATTTTTCCAATTTTCCAGCCCCAAAAAAATGAATTACTACATGTCTGCTGTTAGAACATTGACTTGTTGAGTGGAAGAGGTTATTACATGTCTTACTTCGTCAGTTACAATAATATATATATATATATCTTCGCTGGAAAGTGTTTGTCGTCTCCTCTGTGTTGCCATATTGTTACTCTTAACTAGATTAGGAGACCTCTTCAGCTCTCTTAAATAATTTAGGAGCTGAGACCTCTTTTAACACTTAGGAACCTTTATGAATCACTCTTATTCGTAAGTCTAGGAATAAGAGTAAAATTACGTCATTCTTAGAATTTTGACACACTTGAGACTAAACTTTTACTCTGAGCGGCTTTATACATCCTGTAAAAAGTAATCATTGAATCTACTTAAGAAAAGCGAGTAAACATAACTGATTTTTACAAATTGTTGAATTTACTTAATTACACTGTGTTATGTGAACTTTCAGGTGGATGCAATAGTTAAACTAAACAACTTTAGTAAACAGTACTTAAGAGCATCTAGTTTGTTGGATTAAAGGTATGTTTCCATTGTCTGGTGCAAAGAACAATGAATACAGTTTTAGAGTGAATACAATTTGAAATGGTTAAGGTTTTTTTTTTTTACAGATAGGGTTCTGAATCTTTTTTTCTTCAAGCTGTCAAATAACAATAAGATTTCAGCTTTTTGGCTTGCCCACAAGCTGTTGCTGCCTCATAATCCAGTAGAGCGTTTCAAATCATCATATTTATATTAATAACTTAATATATTTACTGGATTTTGGTAATTGCAGCATATGACAAAAACATTAATGTGTTCTGCTACTCCCATTTTAATTTCTTCAATGTGTTGGGGGTCCCTGCGTATGTGCAATGTGAACGTGTACAGGTGATTGGTGACGACGTAAAAAAATACAATAAATAAATAAATATATATATATATATATATATATATATATATATATATATATATATATATATAATTCAACATTTTACCACACATCCCACAGTCAAATTCAATAAGCAATCAGTAAATTTGTCAATCAGTACAAAGAGGTTAAATAACTTTTATATCAAATTAACAGTTAAAAAGCATGAAAAAATAATTAATTTGTAAATAGTTTTATCGACCGGCTTTAAATGTCAAAGCAGCAGTTTCAGAATAGATTATTGTATAGCTGGCATACTGTCTTTTTGTAACAGATTGAATGTTTTTTTTTAATCTCTGGGATCCACTGCTGTGCTCAGTTTGAAAAGGCCTTTATATCTAAACATAATACACAGACATTAATTTGTTTGCAAATGTTTAACCCGAATATGTACTCTTCAAATGTAATTACTTATTTTTGTCATATTGTATTCTTGTTTCTAGGACTATGAAGAAGAGATGTCAGTCGGAATTTAAGGCAATCTGTTTCCACACATTTGTCTAGTAACGTGAACAAAGCAGACTTGTTAAGAGAACTGTTTTGTTTGAGTTCTGTGCACTAAGCTTAACTTAAATCTCTAAGTTGGCTGAACTTGTCAAATTGAGTTAGCAACACTCAAGTTTTCTGGTAACTTATACTTATACACAAGTTACCTATACAAAGTTACAGTAAGTTTTATTAACTCCAAAAATATGAACTAATTTGCTTGAGAAATTTGAGGCAATCAGTTTCCACAGGCTTTCCAAGTAAGTTCAACTCATTACTTTTTACAGTGCATACGGCCCCTGAATGCATTACATTGCAATCACAGGCTGTAATAACACATTCAAGGGGTTTGTTCAACTGAACACATGACTTTAACTGACAACCTGATTTGTATGATCTTAAAGCTGTATATTAATGTCATTAGGACATTAATTGAAGTTTCCTTGATGAGTTTGGAGACACAGGAACTCCTGGCTTCACGACTGTAACATTTAAAACAAGCTCTTTCTGTGAAGCTGCTTTGACACGGTATGTACTGTGGGAAGTATTATGCAAATGTGAAATGAAAAATCAGTCTGGCCATCTCACTGTCTCGACTGGTCGAACCGAGTTGGTTTTGTGAGACAGCATTGAAGAGTTGAAGTGTTTTCCCTGCTGGCTCCATGATTGGCCAGATTGTTCTGTCAGAGAGCGATGGAGGAATGACACAAATACAGAGGAAAGAAATGATGACGAGTGTTTCCTGAAACACAGAGAGAAAGAGAACTGTCCAGAGGATAAATGTTGTGAGGAGTCCTCGCTGTGACAGTAACAGCTGACTGATGTTCAGAAGGACCGGAGGATCCTCAAACACTGCCTGTGTCTGTTTTGCTTCAAGAGCGCAACCACACTTTTGTGCCGTGTTTTACTTTTATTTTATATATATTTTTTTTTATTTATAATCATTCAACCGTGTTATTATACCATTTATTCATATAATCATTATAATCCAATTATATACTAATTTCATTGATTTATTCATTGATTAGTTTTGTATATTATTGTTTTAATATAATTTAGATTGTGTGGTTTCGAGGGCTGTTTGTCTTCATGAAACTCAGGGTTTATGGGATGTTGTTGTGAAGCACTACTCGTTAGATTTGTGTTCGTCAGATGAAGTCTGAG